GGGGGGGGGGGGGGGAGATGGGTACATATTAAATATTTCACAGTAAACATGATCCTCAGCCAAGGAAAATCCACCAGCCAGTTCCAGGTCCATTGAAAACGACCATTCAGTTTCCAGTTAAACATTCAGCTGTTGCCAATATTTTCAAGAGAAGTGCGTTGTTGCCAAAATTTTCAAGAGAAGTGCAATGATCATTATTAAACAGCCCAAAATGGTTTCGGAGCTGCTACCACATTTGAGCTGCTTTTCAAAGGTCTGTCAATTGCTTCATCAGTGTCATCGTCGTCGTCGTCATCATCCCCATATTCCATTAGCTGGACTAAAGTATCTGAGATGCACAAATTGTATCAAACCATTAAATAATCGGCATGGAGTAGCGGGCAGGGCAGGGTGAGGGGGTGAGGATAGTAGTCAAGGGTGGAGGGAGGGGAGGAAAAAATCAGCGTGAAATGCTACTTATGAAACTTGTTTTCCCTACTCCCACCAGGGAAGTCATTTTTCTGATATTTTTTTCTAGAGAAAATGTTTTCCAAAATATTTTGACTAACCAGACATGGAAAAATTGAAAAACATTGTCTCCCTTCATACCACGTCCTTAGTAACAAGAAATGCAAGAAAAGGAAGGGGGTGATGAAGGTCTGTAGGTCTCACTAATATACAAGCCAAGCAAGAGTTATTTAAATAACAACCCAGTATAATCCCACTAGTGGGGTCTGGGGAGGGTAGTGTGTACGCAGATCTTACCCCTACCCTGGGGTAGGGAGGCTGTTTCCGATAGACCCTCCCTCGGCTCCCTCCCTCCAAGAACTCCCCACCTTGCTCTTGGGGTGACTCGAACTCACAACCTCTTAGATGGAAGTGGAGGGTGCTTACCACTAGAGCAACCCACTCTTGTCTAACAAGAGTTATTTAAATCTTGAGACCAAAAAGCTAGAGTACTGGCAAATACCTGGAACAATTTTACATGGTGTTCTATGAGCTACATTGTTAGCATGCACTTTCTCTGTTGATGAATGGAACTTTGGTGGTGGTGGTGGTGGTGGTGGTGAATGCATCGTTCTAGGAGGTGGCGGTGCCATCGGACTGGATAATGGCTGAACCAACTTTTTCGGAGCCGCTCCAATGTTGTATCTATCACCTGCGTCTGACATTCGTTTCTGAGGCGTTGGGAGCTCTGAACCCTGCAATGAATTCTGACAACCAAAGGGGGAGATGGAGTCCATCCATAAAACTTATCAATTCAAGGAAAGGGAGGTAAAAGTTTTGAGTTTTTCGAAAACATACTTGAACATTCTTTTACTTGTATAGTAGCAGGCAAGTGAAGTTTAAAATAAATGTGTGATCCTAAGAATTATTGATTTCAACTTGAATAACTTGGAAGCGTGGGATATGCAACTTGACTTTTCTTCTATCACTTGCTACAAGGAGCTTAGATCATTATGTGTGGAAAATCAAAAAATTGCAGATGCCCAAAACAAAAACATTTTCAGAGCGAAGTAGAAATTGTTTGAAAGCCTCCCGTGCAGAATGTAATGTGACCTCAGTCTTATTACCCTTTGAATAGTTGAAGCATTATTGGTTTACGCATGTGCATTTCAAATTAGTGTATGAACAATTGACAGAATGCCAAAACCAGAAGGGGTATGGTCTCTATGCATCGGAACCATAAAAAAGAACTGAAATAGCATGCAGCAACCCATGCCTCCTCCATATCCCAGAATCCTGTGAAACATACAAAGGTCCAACAGAGTTCCACTATCAGCCTGTTAGCTTCATACAAGGTCAGAGAAATTACCTGGAATATCAAGTAGAAAAGGTTAGACCAGAAATAAATATATGCATTTTATCTGAAAAATGTAAGGAAATTTGAGGAATTTCAGATGCTCAATTTGGAACAGCAATGTAATACAAATTTAAAGTGAGAACCAAGGAAGTCACGTTCTTTTTGTCT